GTACTTGGACCCTTAGGGCAAGGTGACAGATTTGGTATCTGCAGGTGGGGGGCCACTTACTGCTAGCATTGTGTCTACAGCTCCTCATCTTCTGCAACATCGTCTCTCGGGAGCCCTTAAAGCACAGCCTCAACCAAGCCATAGGAAACGCTACCTCAAGGAAAAAGAAGGAACAAGCCCTGACTCAAGCTCTCACTTTATGTGGGTATGTCTTAATGCACCCCAAACACTGAATCCCATCTTGCCGGGACGACTGCAGATCCCACTACAAGTCAGCAATGTGCCACAAAGCAGAGTGCTGCATCAAGACAGGGGGTGCCGTGCCCTGTTGCACCTGATGCTGCCCTTACATGATCCTGGCAGTGTTTGGGGGTCGTGGAAGTCTTGACAACCGCCCAAGTGTTGCCACAGGTCTTGGTGCACACCCTTATGCATTCTTGGAAGCAATGCGCTCAACGCTATCCCTTGCCTCATTAAGGTACCATGCACACGCCCAGCCACTCATGCTTATGCTGCCCAAGGATCTTGGCGTACTCCTCAGAACTGGCCGTGGACCAGTCAAAATTGCCACTAGCGCAGACACCTATCACGAGAATGGGGGCAAACGGAGCCCGGACCCTGAACAACCCTTCACTAGCTCACTAGCTGTCATCTTGCGCAAAGCCTATGCCTAGCTGGACATGACGTAATACAGAAGAAATATAATGTTGAATGGTGTTCATGGGAACATTATTCAAGGTGTTCTTCCAGCTTAATTAGGCTCCACTCATTTCATAGGCGAAAGGCTCATCGCTTCGTCTCAGCCTCCGGCTCACTCACACCTCCGGCTAAGAGGCCTATGCCGGTTTTCGAAAACATGCGGCGTCCCGACCCTTCGTGGCCAAACTCAAACCTCTTCTGTTACCGTGTAGGATGGAAATCCCGACTCTGGCCCCACAACCCTACATCTTCAAAACCTGGCACCCCAAAATTTATGGGGGGCGGCTCTCACCTGAAGCAAGAATCCATGTTGTCGCTGTTGAGCTGGGGCTGAAAAAATGAAGCCAAATGAGGAGGCATCCCAGTCTTTCACCCTCATAGCACGCCCCAAGAAACTCGCAGAAATCTTTAACTCATGAAACCAACATATAACTTACATAGAACCATAAGCCTCAAAGCCTAAATGGCAGTATCCATTTTTTCGTTGCTCCTTTACAATCCCTATTTCTATATACCTATATAACCAACAAAATCCGAAAATCCCAAACCCTGAGCCCAAGCACCAATATAACCAACAAAACCCAAAACCCTAAACCCTG